ATTATGATGCTACCTGATCTCTCACGCAACACAGAAACAATCACTTCCTAGGATTCACATTGCTTTGACGGATTATGTTCCGCTCATCCCAGATCGGGCACGAACATGTTGCTTTCTTCAACTTCCATTCAGCTCCACACGTGTAACAAAACTCGTATCCGCATCTGCCACCCACAAAAAAAAATGACATTGAATCAATGATAGTAACAATTAACAATGACCAAACATGGTATCTCATTTCATTGGAATTTAAAATAGTTCATGATGTGGTTGTAATGTACTCCAATTCTCTTATATATAAAGCTAGCAATGGTTGCTTCAAATAACCAAGTACCTGCAGGTTATATGGTAGCATCCCCAAACAAGCTCAACCATATTGTTACACTTTATGCATTGTCGCCAACGCTTGCTCTGTGCCAAAGACTTCAACATTCCATCCCCGGCATTCTGATAGCCCTTTGATCTTCTGTAGTCATCGAAGGAGATCTTATAGTGCCACTGTACCTTGCACTGGGTGCAGAAAAACAGCCCGCATTTCATGCATTTTCTCGCTCCAGATTGCTCAGCACCAAGGAAAAACTGTTTGGTATATTCCAAGACTTCATGTTTGACCATCAGTTCCGAACACGTGGGATATGGACAATAGACTTTATCTGAAACACTGATCGATTCTTCTCTCTTGCGTTGGACCATCACATCAACCAGCTTAGGATCCAAAAATTTTGCACAACACTCCATCTTTACTTCTGATTTGCACCCATCACTCGGACAACTAGCAGTTTGCCCTCCGAGCAGTTTCACTTCAATATGTTGCTTCATGCAGGAAAAGCAGAACCGGTGGAAACAACCATTTACCGAGAACATTTTCTAAACAGTGATGCCTTCGTAACATATCACACAAGTTTCCTTGAAAGTCTTGCCATTACTAGTTTCCTCAGGCCACTTGATTTGGGATACTATAGCATCTCTTTCGAGCTTGAAGACAAACTTGACATCATTTCTTGTCAGAAGAGATGGTTGGCAATATGAGAACTTCTTTTGGAGCAGAGACACTTGGTTTACAAGTGTTGCAACGCTGTGCTTCGGTTCTACCCTCCCTGTCACCTGGATCACAGAGCACAACACAACCAGCCATATGAAAGCCTGATAATAATTCCAATTTAAAGTAAAAGGAGTTGGAAATAAATTACGGCTCTAATTCAATGGTAAATCTCTAAAACTCGAAGATAATCCAGTAGATACCATAATCCAGATTCAGGTTAAATGATTTGCAAATGATTATGTATATATACTAAGTATCACACAACAAGAATACATAATGTAGTAATGAAAATGGGTCTTAAGCATTAAGTATTG